GCGGCCCTTGGCGCGGCAGCAGATCAAGGTCAACCTCCAGCGGCATCGGGCGCAGCGGCATCGGGCGCAGCAGCATCGAGTTCGGCGGCGCAGAGGGCGGCCGCTCCTGGGCCTGGAGATCTCCGCGGTGAACCTCCGCCAGTGGCGATGGAGGAGCGCTCGGGCGGGGGCGCGAAGAGAAGTGCTGAAACGGACCCCGCAGCGGAGAACACCATGGACGCCGGCTCGTTAGAGGAGATCGAGGACGTCATCAACGAGTTGGGCTTCTTCGACGCGCATGTGACGGAACTGTTTGGTCCGGGCAAGTTCACGAGTAGGGCGGAGTCGTTCGGCCTCAACCGTGGGCATGCTTTCGACCTGCGCCTGAAGGACGAGAACGGTGCGCAGCGTGACCTGTCGGACCCAGATCGCCAGAGGATTTGCGAAGCGATCATCGATGGAGAGAAGTCGTACCTCCTGATCGGGTCGCCGATGCGCCGGGCCTTCAGTGCCATCATGAACCTGAATAAGGATCGCGACCCAGAGGCGTACGAGCAGAAGGTGGTTGAGGGCATCCAGCACATTCGGTTCTGCGTGAAGATGTACGTCAAGCAGGTGAAGGAGGGGCGCTACTTTCTGCGCGAGCACCCGGACCGTGCTTGGAGCTGGAAGCTGGATTTTATGATAGAGCTTTCGAAGATGGAAGGTGTCGCGCGCGTTGTGGGCATCAGTGCTGTCGGGGCCAGCAATCGATTGATTTCGACGGCGAGATGGGTTTGGTTCTCAAGCCCACAGGCGCGATGAGCAACTCAGAGCGCGTCTTGACGGAGGTCTCTCGTCGGCGCGAGAACGAAAGCCTACCGCGGGACCTGTGGCACGATCATGTCCCCCTGATCGGAGGCTCGAGGGCGCGGCCGGCAGAGGGCTACCCGCCGGCTCTGGCGGCAGCGATCCTCAGGGGCCCGAAGGCGCAGCTGAAGGTCAATGGTGACCTGAGCGCGTTCACCGCGGGCGCCACCTGCGAGGAGGACGGCGCGACCTGGGACATGGAGGAGCACGAGGAGCTTCGCGACAACATCTCGGGCCAGCTGCTCGACGCCAAACTGGCGCGGGCCGGCAGGGGGGAGGAGCTCAAGTACATGGGCGACATGACGGTGCACGAGGAGGTCCCAGAGTCTCTCTGCTGGTAGGAGACCAAGGCGAAGCCCATCCAGGTCAAGCGGGTGGACGCGAACAAGGGCGACGACGCTCGCCCGGAGATGAGATGCAGACTGGTTGCGAAGGAGCTGAAGAGCGCCCAGACGAAGGCCGGGGTTTTCAGGGACGACGCGTTCTCGGCCACCCCGCCGCAGGAGGGCGCCAAGATGCCCTTTAGCGAGATGATGAGCAGGAATTCAGGGCGACAGCAGGCGGCGTAAGCTGATGTTCATCGACATCAGCCGGGCGCACTTCCGCAGCCCGGCGCGTCGGCGAGTTCTCGCGCAGCTCCCGGCCGAGCGGCGCCACGAGGGCTACTGCGCGCTGCAACTCAAGAGCATTCACGGCACGAGGGACGCTGCGGCGAACTTCGCGGACAAGGTGATGGAGGTGCTGCGCGAGATGGGCTTCAAGATAGGTATATTCTGCCCGTGCTCGCGCAGGCGCGACGAGAACGAGACCCTGCTATTCTACCACGGGGGCGATTTCGTGAGCGAGGGCGATGACGACGCCCTGGAGTGGTTCAAGACTGAGCTGTCCAAGCATCTCCTGGCGCGCGGAGTACTCGGCTGGGACGACGGCGACTTGCGGGGGATCACGTTGCTCAACAGGGCTGTCAAGCCCACCGAGACGACGGCCGGCGCTCCGTGCTTGCAGTGGGAGGCCGACCCCCGCCACGCCGAGACCGTCTGGGCTCAGCTGGGGCTCGGGCTCGACAAAGGCAGCAAGTCGGTCGAGGCACCAGGCATCAAGAGGACGGCGGAGGAGCCAACGGAATCTACTCCCCCTGGCGCGGCCGAGGCTTCGCTGCACGAGAGCGTCTGCATGAGGATCAACTACTTATCGATCGACAGGATCGACTTGCTCTTCGAGGCTAAAGAAGCGGCGAGGTGGATGAGCAAGCCGAGTCAAGTGGCCATGGAGATGATGAAGCGCATCGGGCGCTACCTGATGCACAGACCGAGGGTCGTGCAGCGGTTCGCCCAGCGGATCGAGCCGGACGTCCTGAGGGCGGCGCGCGACTCGGACCACGCGGGCTGCGTGCTGACTGAAGACGAGGAGGAGAACATCACTCCGGTTTCTTCGGCGCCCACTGCAGCACTGAATGGGCGCCCCCCTCCCCCGCCGCCGCCATTTTGAACTGATTTGGGCCGGCGAGCCCGCCGCCATTTTGTTGGCTGTTCCCCGTGCTTGGTTTTTCATATGAGTTTGCAAGCTCTGGCGCTCGGGGGCGCCCGCGCGCTCGCGGGCGCTTGCGAGTGCCCCAGGGCTCGGGCTCGGGCGTGGAATCAGCTTTCGGGGCTCGGGTTCGAATTTGGGCAAACAGTCGCACTTCGTGCCTCTACTTTGTTTTCCCTCATTTGTTTTTAATAGTACTGCGCAGGTGTAGTTTATTACAATACTGATTCACCAAGACGATACCGTCGGAAAGAGATCGGAGCGATTTCCAACAGATTCGCCGGCCGTTGTTTATGGAAATTTGGACTGAATAACATGAGATGTGATGCTTGACCGCCGTTTTTTTCCGGAACGTCACTTACTGTTATCGATCATAAGTTTCGCCGCCCGTTTAATTTACGATATCGAATATTATGTGGTGCTTTCGGTGTGATAGGAGCACTACAGGGACGTTGTATCATGGCGCACACCTGCTCAAGGCGACCGCTAACACCCAGACAGCAGTTGCCTTATCGAGTGGAGAGTCAGAGTTCTACGCGATCGTGCGCGGCACCAGCGTCGGACTCGGGGCTCAGAGCATGTGTCAGGATTTCGGCATGGCAAAGGACCTTATCGTCGAGACGGACGCCACGGCCGGGCGCGGCATGGCGCTGAGGCTCGGAGCGGGAAAGGCGAGGCACCTGCACGCGCAGTACCTGTGGGCGCAGGGCATCTACCCCGAGAGGCGCGCGAGGCTAGTCAAAGTCCCCGGCGAGCTGAATACCGCGGACATGATGACGAAGCACCTCTCGGGTGACACGATCGTTTTTTTCATGGATCGGTGCGGGTTCGTGATATTGGAATGACGGAGCGAGCTGTCCCTGAGGGCAGCGGTTTGGGTACGGCTTGGGCCGGAGGTTCGGCCATCCATGCGCGCGGGCAGGAGTGTTTGCTTTTCGGCGGAGGCGCGGGTTGGCGCCTAGCCTTGGGCCGGAGGTTCTGCAATTCACGTGTGCAGGCTGGAATGCTTGCTTGTCGGCGGCTGCGCAGATTGGCGCCTAGCTGAGGAGGAGTGTGGCAGTGTATTCCTCAGAAGGGACTGCGAAGGATGTATAGTATCCTTAACCGCGTTGGTTCAAAAAGCCATCGTCACTCTCGCTCTCTCTTTCTCTCTCTCTCTCTCTCTTTCTTTCTTTCTTCCTCTCTCTCTCTATATATATAAATATATATATATATCAATCTCTCTCTCTCTGTCTCTCTCTCTCTCTATTTTCTCTCTCTCTCTCTCTCTCTTTCTCTCTCTCTCTCTCTCTCTCTCTCTCTCTCTCTCTTCCTGCCTATCAGCCCCTCCGCGTCCCCATTATTTCTGTCCCTCTCTCTTCCGCGTCAGCGTACACAGCTGTATGACTACGGGTCGTTCGGTGCGTCAGTGTTTCCTGTTGCTTTTTGCTTTTCTGCGAGGGGGCGATTGTGATGCTTGGTGGTCCTGACAAGGCAAGGCAGCAACAGACGATCCAGATCGCCGCAAGCATGCGATAGTACTCCCCCATGCGTTCCAACCTGGGGTTACATGTTACATGTGGCATGAGCGAGTTAGCTCGATCAGGAGGGCCACAACGTGTGACATCTCTTTTCTCCAGGCCCCAGGTGGCTGGAACATGCTACAGGTTCACTCTCCCGGTCCAGCGATAGCGCTAACATGTCGTTGTTGTTGTCCCATGAGGTGGTGGGCCGCGTGTCAAAGCATGATATGTTCCCCAGGGCCTGGGAAGTAAGGGTCAGAAGGAGGGGAAGGAGGGTAATGGGAGGGCGAGGGCAGGGCGAGGGGAAGGGGGGAAGGAGAGGGTGAGTGGAGGTGGCGTTGGGCCTCCCAGGGGCCTGCTGGAGAACTCCTGGCGAGCTTATGCTGAGCCTCCGGGGAGCCTTTTCTTGGGGGTTCCTACGGCCCATCTGGGAGGGTCCTACGGCTGTCTGGGAGTCTCCTGGGGCGGTTCGGGGTGGCCATGTCGCGAGGGTCGTGGGACCGCTCAGGGGTCAGGCCTGGGCCGCCTTGAAGCCGAACTGAGGCGGTGTTCGCTCGTCTTGGTGTCGGCTTAGCGATCCTTGCGGCCATCGTGGGGCTGGGCGGGTCCCTTTGGGGGGGCCGCCTGGGTGGTCTCTCAAAGCTTCCTCGGTGCATCTTGCAACCTCAGGGCGAAGAACGGCGTGAGGCAGAAGACATGTGAAAAAACATCGTGTCGACGCTTTGGGCCTCTCAAGCACCTCCTGGGAAGCTCCTGAGGAGGTCTATTGATGTCGCAGCCTTGCGATACCGACAGCTCCCGTGACCAGTGCCAGCCCCACAGATTGCCACCAAACCCATCGGGCATCCGTCCAGGTCGCCTGCGATTGTGGGGCCATCTTGGAGACGTCCTGGGGCACTCTGGGGACCATCTTAGCTGTCTTGGAGACGAGTTCGGCTCTTTTGATGACGCTGGGAACGAGACGGGAGGGGGTACGAAGCACTCGTCTGGGCGCTTCTGAGAGAGGTGCCCGTGTGGGTCTTTATACACCTGCAGGAACCGGTCAAGACAGGACAAGAGCATTGCAGCACGCACTACTTCTGTCAGAGGGCACGGTGGCGGATCACAGACGTGACCATTGCTGCAGGTGCAGGCCAGCAGGCCATGTTCAGCAGTTGCGACCACGTTGTCGCACTGAGCATCTTGGCCGAAGACGTGGCTGCGGCGGCATGGGCAGACTGCAAATCTCTGCGGATTTTGGACATAGGGAACGGCGTGCTTTCTGTGGGGAAGCAAGCCTTCAAGAATTGTTCGCGGCTAGAGGCTGTATCTCTCGGTGGACAAGTCCTCACCATCGGAGCTGAAGCATTCCGAGACTGTTCATCATTGACATCTGTTGTCCTTGGGAGCAAGTTAGACTACCTAGGAATGGATGTGTTCAGCGGCTGCCATGCATTGACGGCCGCGACCGTCCCGTCGCCGCTCCCCAGAAGAATTGTCGATGTCTTTGATTGCTCTATCCTGACCTCTGTAACCTTCCTTCGGTCAGCGACCACTATCGCCGAGGCAGTTCTGAAGGATTGCACTTCTGTAGTGTCTGTACATATGTTTGACAACATCACTTCTGTCGGAGAATATGCTTTTGCGCACTGTTCCAGCTTGTCTTCAGTCACGATGTCAAGCCAAATTCGATCCATAGGAGCATGGGCGTTTTGGGATTGTGCAAACATCATAAGTCTGCCTCTCAGCGATACGGTTGAGTCCATAGGAAGAGGCGCCTTTCAGGGGTGCACTTCTTTGGCTTACATGGAGCTACCTCCCAATCTTACCGATATCGCTGATTTCACCTTCTCCGGCTGCAGTGCGCTAGAACATTTGACGGCGCGTGGCGTTCATAGAGAATTGGTCGAAGGGGGGCTCTCTCGAATCAACTACATTGGTAAATATGCGTTCCACGTCTGCGCACGTCTCGAAATGGTAGACATAGGTGTGTCAGTAACTTCTGTTGGGGAGTACGCGTTCGCTGGCTGTTCATCGTTGGCATCAACGCCAAGTTTGAAAGGGCTCACAAAATTGGAGGACTACGTTTTTGCGAATTGCTCTGGGTTGCGGCACGTTTTGATTCCTGAGGGTGTTATTGCCATCCAGCAGGGTGCATTTTACAATTGTTCGTCTCTGCAAAGCCTTGAATGGGGTATCGAATTGAATCGGATTGGTGATGACACAATCACGATTGGCAAGTCTGCATTCAGGTATTGCAAGTCGTTGAGAAACTTGACCATCCCAGCTTCAGTGGCATGGATAGAGGAAGATGCCTTTCAGAACACTGAGCTTGATGGGGCTACTATCTTCCCGCGGGACGATCGCATTGTTGATCAATCAGCGTTCCCTCCTGGTGTCGTAACGGAATGCGGCAACGGATTCGAGTTGATTGTCAAAGGGTGTGCGTGCCCAGAGGGCAAGATGTTTGTTGCAAATTCTCGCGCATGCAGCCCATGCGGATTATATTTCGATTGCCCTGGTGGGCATTTGGAGGCAGATCCCAGCATCTATGATGCGACAGTCAGTGTCAAGGAGGGTTATATGACAATTGAAAATGATCCCTTTTCAGTCTATCGGTGCGTCAAAGCGTTGCGTTGCGCAGGGAATCGCCAAGTCTTAACCAATATGTGCACTGAAGGTTTCGACCCAGCATCAGTACGGTGTGCAACATGCTTGCCCGACATGTACCTAAGTGATGGGACATGTAAGTCGTGCACTGGCGTAGATGGGGGGTTTATGATGGCCAAATTGGTCGCGGTTGGAGTAGTCCAGCTTCTATTCAGATGCTTGCGGCAACCTCAGCCACCGTGCTGCGCAGCGTCAAGATGCACAGGATGTGGATAGGATCCTACAACGAATCGCAAAGAGTTGCAGAAGGCAAGGCAATGCACAGCAGCGCACTTCGAGGCAACTCACGGCAATGCAAATGATTGCAAAGCAACGCAAAGCAGTGCGAAGCATGCAGGGTATTGCAAAACATGGCATCACAACGCAATTCAGCTCAAGGCAACACTACGCAATACATACTCTACGCTGCACTCTATAGGCTATAAGTTGTCATATGGTTTCGCTGTGCCAAGACTTAAGCGGTAGTATGCACTGTTGTTGTGTCCGATGCCCCGCTGTGATACTCCAATGTTTATGAGTTGTTCAGCGCAGCGCCATGAAAAGTTCCATGTTTGGTCTGGGCTTTCTGCACAAAAAGGTGACAGGAATAATTCCTAGGCGAAGCCTCGCGTTTTTGGTTTCACTGTTTGCTGGAGAACTCCGTGGGGGCCTCGTGAGGGCATCTTAGGATATCTTGGAGCGTCTTGGGGGCACCTTGGGACAGCAGTGGGCACGCCAAAAAATGAACTGGCCCGCCAGCAAGTGCCCCACCCAATGCCTGCGAAGTCCAAAGTCGACCGAACCATGCGCCCCTAGACTTGTGATCGCAATATTTTCAACGTAGGGTCCCACTGTATAGGTAATGTGTTGAGACGTCTTTGGCGAGCCTAAGGGTATCCAGCAGGCGTCTCGGGCCGGCCTTGGTCCGTCCGGATGCAGATGTGGGGCCGTGAGGAGCGCATGTAAGCAGAACGGAGTTGGGCGATTTGTCGTTGACAACGGCTTGCGGGTAGGGGGAAGAGTAAACATGCTCCTCTACGCCTCATATTCAATTAGAACTTAAGACAACTTGCATGCATTGCACTGTCAGCCTGAACTAATGCTGCACTCTGCAGCTGTATGGATTGCTCAAACAAGCCAGCCTTGGCTTGCAGGAGAGAAGGAGCGCGCCAGCCCCCGGCCGTCGCGCGTCGTCGGTCGTAGGCCAGCCGGCCTCCTCCCTTCACATTCCTGATAGAGTAATCTTGCTTAACGGATAATTGTCTTATCGATGTCTCATCCCGTCCCCTCTCTCCCTGAGCAGAGTGAACGTGAGATCTTAATCCTTTTGGCATCTTATCCCGATTCTCAGAGGAAAGACTGGTTATCAGCCGAAACGCGCGACTTAGTCGACACGGGGCCATCTCCACCAAAAGAAGGAACTTCGAATGAGCTTAGTCGCTGCGGGAATGAGCTATGATAAGACTGACGTCGTGTCCATCGTTTCGAGAAGCGCCGACGGGCGCGCTGTACAACACGATGGATACGACATGACCAAGAATGGTCCCATTCAGGATCGCATCCCTCCTTCCTATATCGCCACTCGGGAAACTAGGGGTAGAAGTACTGAGGGAGTGGCAGAGATGTCCGTAGATGTCTCTTCCGCTGGAGTTCCGATTGGTAATCGAGGGCAGACCCCAGACCCGTACGGACGAGGTGGCGTGACAGCAAGAACTAGACGAAGTGCGTTTTCGTCTTGGAGTGCCAAATCGACGGAGTCAATCAGCCCAATTCCGAACGCTACACATGCTATTGCCACTGCCGCTGGTGAGACCAGCCGTCCTGGGGAAGCCCACGAAAACGTAGGTGCGTACCCCAGCATCCCAAGCGAATGGGCAGGTACGAATACGAACGTTCCCATCCCAATAGCATTAAACAGACAATTTGGTCAGGACAGTGAGGATCCCATTGATAAAGAACATGTGGTAAACTCCATGGAGGAAGATTTTGACAATATCAATAACGAAATTTCCCTGAGCCGAGAATTGCCCCTGATGATGGAAGAAGACCTCCCCGCCCAAGGCGAGAGGTGGTCTCCAGATGGATATGATGAAGATACTAGTATCCTGACGCCTCAGGCGGACAGGACGGAGGCTCAGACGAAGCATGAGAGGGAGTCCACAGGACGGACCCCTGCACCTCATCTCAAGAAGCAAAGAAACGAGGATTATGAACTGAACGTCTCACCACTGAAAGAAGGTTTCTTCCGCACTGCCGCCACCTCAGGTGACTGGCAACCCTCGATACCAGCTGTTGTTGAGGATGAAAAAAATTGTTGGACAACCTGCTTCGGTTGTTGAGAATGTAGAAATGAGTTAATAACACAAGACGAAAAGGATGCGGAGCTTTTGGACGTGCCTAAACCCCAGAAAATACATTCGTTCGCCCCAGATCAAGTGCTTCTAGCAGGGAAAGGCCCAAGATACCGAGATCAGGAGCGAGATCTACTTCAAGGAGCAACAGCACCATCTCCATGGTGGAGGCCTGTTGGAATCATGACTCTAACTGCGCGCCTCAGGCGGAAAGCAGATGCCCAGGAAAAGCCAACAAACCAGAAGGTGCATGTAGGAATCCAGCATGCAAGAATTGCTCGGAAGTGTGCCCTAAGTGCAACATACAATGGCTGTGTACAGAGCGTTACCCAACGGACGAGCACAATTGCCAGGCCAGGCTGGCAGAGGCTAACACTCAGAGAGAGTTTCTGACCAATGAAGCGCAGCTGGCCGAAATGGCCCGACTGGATAAAGAGGAGATGACTGAAGCCATGGCTGAAGTTCGGAAGACATTCGAGGCTGAACGGATCGCCCTAGCCATGGCTGCTAGAGAGCGAGAACCAGAACTGATGGAACAATTGCATCATCAGACCGCGGCCGTTAAGCGGCAGGCGGAGATGGAGGCCGAGAATAAATACATGGAAATAGTGGCTTCTGTGAGGCAGGCCGTCGCGATGGCAACCAATCAATCTGTCGATGCCAAAACGGTCGCTGCTGCTGTTGCGGCGGCTAGAGTAGAAGGAGAACAAATCGCTACAGCCAGGGCGGAACGAGAAAAACAGAGCTTACAAGAAGAGCTTAAAGACGCCAGGCTGGAAGCAATTAACACCCAAGCTGTAGCTGCGAAGATAGCCGACCAGAACAATCAATATCTGGAAGAATTCAGATCGCATGAAGAAGCCAGATCTTCCCTCCAGCGTATGCAATCGAGCAACGCTAAATGCCCGCCGGCTAAGCCGACTGGAACGAACGCACATCAATTGTCGGCGGCTCAGTCGCCCGGCAACGCATCCGTTCCAACACAGTCTGATCCGACGAACATAGCAAATGCGGGAGCGTCAACCCTGCTGGTAAGAAAGGAGGCGCATCCTCCCCCCGAGGAGCGGGGAAAAAACATTACCAGTGGCCCAGTTTTGCGCAGTTTGCTTTCGCCCGAAGATGGACAATTGCGTCGGATGTGGTCGGTCGGTTTGCGAAGAACAGTTTGATGCGAGCACTAGAAGATGTTCCAAATGTGACTTGTGGAAAAGTAAGGGTCAGCTGCCAACATGCGAGAAGAAGGGGTCATTGCGAACGCAGCTAATACAGAGAAAGGAATGATGAGGCTTAAGGCTATCATCACCGACCCGACTCCATACACTGAAAGTAAACGAGGAGCAGGACTCACCTCGAGTTCATTTGGCTTGCCGTTGCTTTCGCAAAAAAAAAACTCCTGTGAGCCCACTATTGCGTCCGAACTTTACTGTTCCCGGTCCTGCCCTAGAGGGCCCGGCAATGCCGAGTACCCCTGAGAGCGGATTTCCTTTGGAATCAAGCTAACAGGATCTAACGAAGATAACACTCTCGCCAATTACCGCCCATCCTAGAAAGATGGCCCTACGGGAACGACGGTGACTAAGTCGTCGGGCGAGGCAGGGCAGGGCGGAGAAGAAGGCGACAAGAGTGACGCTCCGAATGCCGAGATCATGTCTACGCACGATGATGATCACGGTAAAAGACCACGTGGATCGCCTCCAGGAAGCCCAGGGGGTTCAGATCCCTCGGACGGCGGAGGCGGTCGCGGGGGGCCTCAGGGCCCTGGCGGGCCGCAGGATCCAGTAGTAATTGACGAAAGCACGCCGTTGGATCAATGGAGACAGGTTGGTAACAATCAGAAAATTGATTTGTTGGACATCCCTGATGTAACGAACATACGGGAGTGGCAGATGCATGCAGCACGTGCAATCGCTGGGTCATCGCCCGAGAGCCAGGCGGCACAGTACTGGATTACGGAGGCTATGAACCCAGCTGTGGAGGATGAGCAGCTGAAAGATGCAGGGCGATTCCAGGGTCTCGATCTCGTGATTGCAACGAATCTCATCGAGAAATTTAATAAAATGCGAAAGAATCGCCATCAGCCTGGTCATCATACTCATTTCCTCCAACAGATCACTCGCATGGAATACAGCGCCCAGAACGAGGGAAGGCTCCTGACTGGACGCGAGATGGTGCGAGCAATTTGCCACTGGTGTTTTGTTAGATCGGAGTTGGGACAACATCGCATTTCGCGTGATATCTTCAAGGTAATCATTGACCCACACAAGCCAGATGCTGACCTGCATCATTTCTACAATGAATGGACAGATGTACATCAACAGCTTTATGGCGCCAAACCTCCGTCTGACGAAATGAGGCCCTCGATTCATGCACACTTTCTTGAACAATGCAGAAAGCCGAGCAAATTGAATTTTGTATGCCAATTATATGACATGTCAAAAGATAAATGGGACATGGCGCGAAGAGTTATGAATGGCTGATGGAGCAAATTGAAGAAATGATGTTGCGAGAAAAAGAAGAATGGAACATCAGCGTGGATGAGGGTACCTTGAATCAACGTGCCGGGCAGGCACGGTTCGGCGGAGGCGGAGGCAATGACAACCGGAAGAATGCCGGCGGCAAAGCCGCTCCAGCAGAAATGGCAGCTAAGTTGGGGAAACCTACAGATGTCATGAAAAGCGGATTGACTAAGGGCGAGACCACGTGCAGATACGTACGTAAGGGCGAAACTTGCCCGTGCGCAGGGAAAGGCTGCCCCTTCAATGACAAGAAGCCCAAGAACGCCGCACCGGTTCAGCCGAGCACGGGAAGAAAATCCAGCGCCGCTCCT